CGCATGTTTTCCCTTTTATGAAGCCCTGCTTAATCTGCTTGATTTATATTTGTATATTTCTAAATGCTCTGCCATTACATTCTTTATAATAGGTGCCAACATTTTTCCAATAATGGATGTTAAGCCAATTTGGTCCATGATTATCTGTTTTGTCTCCTTCCCTTTTTGAACTACATTGGCAATTTTGCAGGCCTCTGAAACCTTTCCAGAGTCTTGCAGAAGGATTCTTGGAATATTGGAACCAATTGCATCCAGTTCTTCGTAGCTACTTCCTTTTAATATCCTAAGGTGCATTCCATCAAGACCAGAGAACTTTTCACCCCCTTGTACTAATTTCCTTGTTTTGACATGATTATTTGGTGTTTTTTGGTATGTTTATTAGTCCTTACACTGTAAAGACAGATGGAAAATTTTGATTCAACTCTTCTGCATCCTGGCTCCCTATTATTATCATCACCCCAGCTTCATTCTTTTATGGTACTATGTTTGCTATGGCCTTTATGCTCTTGATGTTTGTCTTGGTGTTACTTGAGCTTTGAGGGTAAACATACCTTTTCCCTCTTTATTATGTTATGTATTTAGAGTGTGAATCACCATGAATTACCTGTTTGTACAGAACCCATCCCTTTGATTACTGGCAGCTCCAGCAAATTCTCAGCTCTGGGCTTGATTCTAAACCTTTTCCAAAAATTATGATAAAACTACATCAACCTTGGTAGTGGTTCTTTCAATCATGTTTTCATAAATTTTTAAACGAACCATTTGCCCTGAATTTCTCCTACAATGCAGTTCATTCTGAAGATGAATGTTTCCTACAGTATACTTCATTCGAGATGGCACGGTGGCTCAATGATTAGCAATGCTGCCTCACAGCTCCAGGGACCTGAGTTCAATTCCACCCTGGGGCGACTGTCTGTGTGGAGTTTGTACATTCTCCCGTGTCTGCGTGGGATTCCTCTGGGTGCTCCGGTTTCCTCCCACAGTCCAAAGATGTGCAGGCCAGGTGGATTGGCCTTGGGAAATGCAGAGTTATAGGGATAGGGTGGGCGATGGATCTGGGTGGAATGCTTTTTGGAGGGATGGTGTGGACTTGATGGACCGAATAGTTTGCTTCCCCAATGTAGGAATTTTATGACAGCTAAAATGGTGAGAATTGACATCTAATTGATTGCACTAGTTTGATAGCCAATCCAGGCTTTTGACCACAACGTTTGTTGTGTTTTTTCAAAACTGAATTTCTTTTTTTAAAAAAACTGAACTCGACTCGACTGAACTCTATCACATCCTAAAAGTTTAATCAGCTGTACCCTGCTGCCATTTCCCTAGCTTGCTCAGTAGTTGTTAGATGTTAATGCTGTATTGGTACAAATTCCTACTGTCTTTCAAAAGCAGCACATGGGTAAGCAACTTCCTTTTAATTGGGTTAATGAGTGCAAACGTTCATACGATGAGAGAGTTTTGTTTTTGCAGAGACGGGTTTATGTTGAAAGAAGGTATTCTAACCTTGCTTCAATCTTAAGCCCAAATTTTAATTGGTGATCAAAATTATGGCTTTAAAGGAAAAGTAACCATTTTATATTTGGATTAGAAACATGTGAGAATTCTGAAATGTGGACTCCAAGTTGTAACAGAGACTTATAGACTTGCAGACAATAAGGACTGCAGATGCTGGAAGCCAGAGTCTATAGGTGTGAGTCTGGAAAAGCACAGCAGGTCAGACAGCGTCTGAGGAGCCGGAATGTCCATGTTTCAGGCCCAAACCCTTTGTCAGGACTGGGGAAGTGGAGGGGAGCCTAGAAATAAATGGAGGGAGTGGGGCTGGGGGAAGGGTAGAAGAGATGGTGATAGGTGGATGCAGATAGGGGGTTATTGTGAACAGTCGGTGGGAAGGGTGGAGCGGATAGGCAAGTAGGAAGATGGACAAGTTATGTCATGTCAGGGAGGTGAGGAGGAGGGGGAGGGATGGACATGGGATAACGCTGGGGTTGGAGATATTTTGGTTCCCGAGCTGAAAAAGGAGAGGAAATGTCATTCAAGTATGAAAAATGGAAATATCCATCCAACACTATTTGACTTAGATTCATTGCATAGAGCTAATAAAATACCATCGTCTGGATTTTGAATTGGTGATAACAGTGACATTCACTGACCCTTTATATTGGAAAAGATGTGTTAGCAAATCCTGGCATCTATACATATCCACTTAAACACAGAAACCTGTAAGGTAGCTCACGTCTCTTGAGGGTCACTGTAGCATTTCTCACCAAAGATGTAGCTCTGAAGTCACTGCAGTGGCTTAAAATTGGGACATTGAAACACCAGAGGTGCCAAAACCAGTTAAGCTGGTGTCTTCAGGAGTAAGTGAATTTTCAGTGCGGTATCATGTGGTATCAACCGGCTTCTCTGACCCTGAATATTTAGTTTTAGAAATCTGGTCATAACTTCAGAAATTGATTGTCAAAGCTTTTTTTTTAAAATATCTTTAGTTTTATGTTTCTTATCTTTTATTTCTTCCTGTACACACTTTAGAATTCTGATGGTTTAGTGAGGCTTCTTCAGTCACAGGTTGAAAAACCTTTGTTTTTTGCCCTGCTCACGGACTCCACTGATTCCCTTTAGGTGATGCCATGATGGTCCAATGCAGGATTTCAGCAAGTCTGTGCACAAAACATCCCTCATTTTCTAGACAACTGTAAACTGCTGATCAAAACATTTGAAAAATATTTGTTCTAATCTGTGATCAAATCTTTCAAACTGCATTCTGAACCTTTAGTCTTCTACATATGAGCTTTCTGAGAAGTTAATAAATTTCATGCTTCTGGAATAGATTAGGTAGTTCAGAATTTTAATTCTAAATTCTTGATGATATTTTTCATGCTTTGTTTGCAAGAAAATATTTACTAAAGTGGCAAATTGAAAGACTATTCTAAAATGGGCATAGTTCCAATCACAAGGTTGAATGTCCTTTGTTTATTTGATAATAATGTAAACATAACATGAAGGTCAAACTAATTTCCGAAAGCTCCTGTCTGTTGAGAGATTTATTTATAATTCTATAGACATTGGATTTCATTTCAATGCTCCTTTGTTTCTCTTCACCAATATTTAAAATGCCTGTTTCTAAAACAGGATTAGGTTCAGTTCTTGACTTTCGGTACTTCATGTGTTTTGATTCAAAAACGCTTAGTCAAATTTGACAATGTTCTCCTATAACATGTTTAAATAATCTTTTACATTTCTGCATCACAGGTCAATTCAGTAGGGCTCAGTCCACTCTACATTTAAAAGTTGGTTCATTTTCCAACACTTAACATTCTCATGGTAAAAACAACATGTCAAAACACTTGTTATAGCTAGCATGGTTCAGTCCAATGAAATTTGTAACATAAATATGTCTGAAAATACTTCACTGATAATTTCAATCATTATTTAACAATAAATTTCTTGCTGCAATTATACAGAGCCTTGGTGAGACTACAGCTGGAATATTGTGTGCGGTTTTGGTTGCCTTATCTGAAGAAGGGTGCTCTTGTTATAGAGGGAGTGCAGCAAAGGTTTACCAGACTGGTTCCTGGAATTGTAGGACTGACATGAGGAGAATCTGTTAGAATTATTTTAACTAGGTTCAGAAGGATGAGGGGGGGGATTTCATAAAAACCTATAAAATTCTGACAGGGTTAGACAAGGTAGATGCTGGAAGAATGAAATCATTTAGGACTGATGATGAGGATAAATCTCTTCACCAAGTGAGTAGTGAGCCTGTGGAGTTCACAACCACAAAGTAATCAAGCTAAAACATTATGATTTCAGGAGTTGGATGTAGCGTTTGGGCATCAAAGGATAAGGGGGTAGAAGTTGGCACAGGATATTGATTTGGATATTCAGCATGAACATAATGAATGGGGGAACAGACTTGAAGTGTTGAATGGATAGGAGATAGTAGGAACTGCAGATGCTGGAGAATCCGAGACAACAAGGTGCAGGGCTGGATGAACACAGCAGGCCAAGCAGCATCATAGGAGCAGAGAGGCTGACGTTTCGGGCCTAGACCCTTCATCAGACCCTTTTCTGAT